TCTTCTTCCAGTACTTGTCTCCTTCACTGGGCTCTTCATCCAATCTCAATCTTCCCTTCCCCATGGTTCTTTGTTCTAGTCATTTTGCCCAGCCAATCTCTGATTCTCTCCCTGCACCTTCTCAGGTGTCTCCCCTCTCTCCCCATGCTGCTTCTCAGCCCAGCCTCCTGGTCCAGCCAGACCCAGTCTTGCTCTCTCCCCTTAGCTCCTCATTCAATCTCACTGTCGACCCCAATCCCATGCTTTATTGTTTCCTTCACAGGCTCCCAGTCTGAGTTTTCCTCCTCCCCACCCCAGCTCTCAGTTCCAGTCTCAGTCCTTTCCCCCCATGTCCAGTTCCAGGCTACTCTTTTCCTTCCTACCGGCCAGGCTCTTGTCCCCCTGCATTCAAAATCAGATTGCTTTCTCCTCCACACTGCCTGGGCACCAGCAGGGGAAGGTCACTGAGAACACAGGAGAGACTCCCTGCTCTAAGATCTGGTGACCAGCCTCATCCCAGCCTGGAGCAGTTAGAGTAGTCATTACAGACAAAAATCCAGCTTTGCTCTTGTAGCCCTGGGCTGGAGCGTGCCAGGTTGCACTATGGGAATGGCACGTGCACAGTCCAGTCACAGGCAGCAGGTGGGAGGGAATAAAACATGCTCAGTCGCTCCATGGGGATAGTGCATATGCAGTCTGGTCAGCATTAAGAGCTGTGAGAGGCTCAAAAATGCTCACCAAGGATAGAATCTTTGGAGACTTTAGCAAATAAAAATCAAAGAAATCTCTACTAAGCATCCACAAACAGATTTCTAAGGCTTGTAACTTCAGCAAATTTGGGAGGTATTTTATGAAGATACCAAAAGGCACTATGACACAAAGGACAACCCCCTGCCAAGTTTCAAATCCCTGTATCAAAGTATGTGGGCATTAGAGAATTTCAAAGTAAAAGTCTCCAGAATTTAACACTGGCAAAATATTTTTCTCTACCCTTGTTCTTAAGTGTCTTAACCATTTGGCTGAATTGTTAAAAAAAGAAAAAACCTCAAAAGCCTTTAGCTTGAAGAAGATGCCAGCCCAGAAAATTTCAACCCAAATTATTAAAATTTGGCAAAATTATAACCAACTGAATACAGGGTCTATTAGGTTGGGAAATATTGGGCAATCTTAATAATAGGGGGCACTATTAGCTCCACCAATAAGTAGAACGCCAAACAACATTAAATGTTTGAAACAGTTTAAGTGCTCTTAATAAATAAGAGTCCCGTTAAGCAGAAGAATTATTATATAAAGATACAAGCTGAGCAGGTTTTAAGATCTTATTATACCTAGAAAAAATGGTTACTAGCCTTCCATAACTGCTGTTCTTTGAGATATGTTGCACATGCCCATTCCAATATAGCTGTGTTTGTGCCCTGAGCATAGTCAGAGAATTTTCCCTCGGTGGTATCTGTTGCGTCAGCTCTGGTGCCCCCTGGTGCCACACACTGGTAACGCCGTTATAAAGGGGCTGGCCAACCCCAGGCCCGTTCAGTTCCTTCTTTTTGGCCAACTCCGATAAGAGGGGTAACAAGGGCAGGTCTTGGAATGGACATGTGCAACATCTCGAAGAACAGTTATGGGAGGTTAGTAACCATTTTTTCTTCAAGTGATTGGACATGTCCATTCCAATGTAGGTGGCTCCCAACCAGTTAAATAGGTGGTGGGCTCAGAGTTCACAGACATGCTTGACCGCAACACAGCTCAACTAAATCTGGCATCATCCCTGGCCTGCTGGGCAATGGCATAATGAGAAGAGATTGCGTGCACCTATGATCAAGTTGCAGCTTTGCAAGTGTCCTGAATAGGAATCTGTGCCAGAAATGTCATTGAGGATGCCTGTACCCTCATGGAGTGAGCAGCTGGGCTAGGTGAGGGTGGAACACCCGCTAGTTTACAACATGTGAAGATACTTGATGTGATCTTTGAGGAAATTCTTTGAACAGACAGGGGAAAACCTTTCATCCTGTCTGCTACTGCTACAAATAGCTGGATGGACTTCCAGAACAGTTTGGTCCTTTCTATGTAGAATGCTAGCACATATTTAACATCCAATGAGTGAGGCTTACTCTTTCCTGTTTGCATGTGGCTTCTGGTAGAAAACGGACAAGACGATAGCTTGATCGTTATGGAACTGAGAAACCACTTTCAGGAGGAATGTGGGGTGAGGACGCAACTGTACCTTATCTCTAAGGAAAAGAGTGTATGGCGGTTCTGAAGTGGGAGCCCAGATCTCTGGAATCTCTCCTAGTGGAAGTGATGGCCACTAAGGTAGCCACTTTCCAGCAGAGAGATAGCAAGAAACATGATGCTATCAGCTCAAATGGTGGGCCCATAAACTTTAATAAGACCAGATTGAGGTCCAAGGATGGATGGGCTCTCTTACTTGGGGGTACATCCTCTCTAGGCCCTTAAAGAAACACAGACATCTCATGTGAGAACACAAAGGGCGAAACATGAGGGTGAAAAGCCAATTTTGCTGTCAGGTGAACCTGTTAGTCTCTAAGGTGCCACAAGTACTCCTTTTCTTTTTGCGGATACAGACTAACACGGCTGCTACTCTGAAACCTTGATTGAGGAGATATTCAAACCAAGCTGTTTCAGGTATAGTAGGTAGTCCAGAATAAGCTGCAGTGACGAAACTGTTGGCAAGACCGCCCGGCTGGGAAGACCAGAGGGAGAATCACTTCCATTTAGTGGGGTAAGCAGCCCTGGTATAGGGTTTCCTACTACCTAACAGGATCTGTCAAATCTGCTCTGACCAGGCCCATGCTCCTGGTTTCAGCCATGAAGCTTTCAGACCACCAGGTCAAGGGAGACAAGGTTTAGGTGGAGATCACCATGGTCCTGAGAGATCAGGTGCAGAGGAAGTGCGTTGCCATAGAGAGATCTAGCAGGGTGGCAAACCAGTGCTGGTGAGGCCATGCTGGGCTATCAGGCTGACCCATACTCAGTCTCATTTGATCTTTAGCAGGACCTTATATATGACCGGAATAGGACAGAACACATAGTACAGGTGACCCTTCCACAAAAGAAGGAAGGCGGCTGTAAGCAACCCCAGGCTGTTACCTTGCAGCAAGCATAACTGATGATACTTCCTGTTGTACCAGGTCAAACAGTCTACTAGGCAAGTCCCCACTACTAGAAAGTGTCCTTCATGATATCCAGCAGAAGTGACCACTTGTGATGATCGAAGACCTGCTGAGGCGCTCCACCAGCTTGTTCTGTGCTCCTGGTAGGAAGGAAGCCTCAAAATGAAATAGGCTATGCAAAATTCCCACAGCCAAACTACCTCTTGACTTGGTGTGCGGGGAAACAAGCCCCTCCCTGTTTGTTGATATAGAACATGGCTGTCCTGTTGTCTGTGAGATGGACACAAATCAGACGTCAAGAATTATAACATTCAAAAATCAGTCGGAGAACACTTCAATCTCTTTGGTCACTTGATTACAGACCTAAAAGTGGCAATTCTTCAACCAAAAAACTTCAAAAACAGACTCCAATGAGAGACTGCTGAATTGGAATTAATTTGCAAACTGGATACAATTAACCTAGGCTTGAATAAAGACTGGGAGTGGATGGGTCATTACACAAAGTAAAATTATTTCCCCATGTTTATTCCCACCCCACCGTTCCTCATACGTTCTTGACAACTGCTGGAAATGGCCCACCTTGATTATCACTACAAAAGGTTCCCCCCCACCCCCCGCTCTCCTGCTGGTAATAGCTCACCTTACCTGATCTCTCTCCTTACAGTGTGTATAGTAACACCCATTGTTTCATGTTCTCTGTGTATATAAATCTCCCCACTGTATTTTCCACTGAATGCATCCGATGAAGTGAGCTGTAGCTCACGAAAGCTTATGCTCAAATAAATTTGTTAGTCTCTAAGGTGCCACAAGTATTCCTTTTCTTTTTGGGGATACAGACTAACACGGCTGCTACTCTGAAACCTGTGAGAACCAAGACATACTTGCCCACAAGATGAGGTAGGAACATCTGACATGCCAGATGGACTGTCCTGAGCTCTGATGTTGATATGCAGAGCGAGCTCTTCCTGAGACAAAAGGCCACAGGTGAGCTCCCCAGCCTAGCACTGACACATTAGAGAGACCACAGAAAGTTATAGTTGGGGCCAAGAAAACAGGATGCCTGCACAGAGCAAGGGGAACAGTTCCATCAACCATCACAGGCAGTAAGAAGGAACTGAAGCAATGTGGGGTCAGCTGGCTCCTTTATAGTGTCGCTGAGCACTAGAGAGCACCAGACCTGATGGATACCACCGAGGGAAAAACTTCTGGCGATTGTGCTCTAGGTCTGCACACACCTACATTGGAATGGACATGTGCAATCACTTGAACCTATAACCTAAGCCTCATTTTCTTTCACTGTTACAATGTACTATATACCCAAAGCAGAAAATATTTTCTACACTATAATCATAACTGTTCTAGCCATAAAAAGGTCTGCCAGTAAATTTGCCACCATCGACAAATATTCTAGGGGGATTTAGGACTCAACAGCATTAATGTAGATAACAAAAGCAAGAGGTTTTGTAATAGCTTTCAAAAAAAACAAATTATAATCTTACTACTTTATTTTGAGATTCTATGTACATGAACCTAAAAATCTTTACGCGTGCTTGATCAGCATAAGCCACTTACAAAAATACGGGCCAGTCAAATATGAATGTTATTCTCAATCATATGGGAAATCTCTTATCAAATGTTCTGGGTTCCCAAGAATGTACTGCATGTAAAATGTGTAGCACCATGGTCCAGCAGCAAGGCAGCCAAGACCAGCCAGGTTTCCCGTGGAACTCTCATAAAGGAGCAGGGTATGGCCTACAAGGAGGATTTTGTGGGATAATTTCAAGTAATGTCCCTGAAAAATTCTTCCAAGTTAAAAAATAAAAACTATCCAGAAAATATTTTGTATGGTTTATAATAAAATAGATAAACATTGAGAACTAGAAACAATACCTCCATGGTGATGTGACAGACTTCCTCCATTGGCAAGGATTTCCTCTCTAGCAGCTGTCTAAATTGAAGAAAACATTAAAAACGTTAGTTAAATGCAAAGTTTGGTACATTATATGATTCTGACAAGTACTGTATACTAATTATTAATATACGGTACACATAAGAGTGTCTTTTCCTGATTAAACTTAATCCACTTTTCCCCTAACTGGAAAAAGGCACTCGTATTCCAGACTAAGAATATCCAAATGGGGTTTATACAATATAGTTATTCTGGAATTTATTTTACATATTCTGGAATAGCTATTCTGGAGAAAAACTGAGTTATATTATGATAAATTTCCAAGTCTAGACAAGATTTTAGAGTCTTTGTATTATTCTCTACAGCTCAGCAACTGGAATGCAATTTTACTGATAGAGCAGGCAGACATATTATCTGGTAGTAGGGAACAGGAATACTAATAGATGGGAAGAAAACTCCAAGGCTAGGAAGGTGCCTTGCAAACAGTGCGAAGTAAGATCATAGTGCCTCCCTGCATGAGAAGCCAAGGAGCCAATTATCAGAGCCATAATACACTCTGCTAATCCTCTTATTCATATTGGATTTAACACTTAAGATAAAAAATGAAGTTGTACATATGTACATTACCTCAATTTGTTCATAGACACGTATAGGGTCACTAATTCCCCTGTAGTTAAAGGCAAAATAGAAATAGACACATGCACCTGCGTCGTAAGTCTGTGTCACCCTGTTGAAGAAAAAATGCGTTGTAAGTAGTACTACACTGTCGTATAAGCTACCCAGCGTTTAATATTAGCTGATTCACAATATTACTCTAGATCTCACTAATTCCTATACTTATTATTGAACAATGCTTTGTCTCATTTTTATATTTTTATTGGGAAGAATCTGGATCTATTAAAACTATCTTTGCCACCTCTGCCAAACAGATGGATGAGAAGGCATAAGGGAAAAGCTTACACTGTATAGTTTTAACCACTATTTCTAATTACATTTAATTTCCTCCCCCCTCCCTTTTTTTTAAAACCAAAACTACCAAAAATTTCTGTTGAGAAATAAATCCTTTACAATGCTTAATTTTGGCATTTTCACAGCACTTGCAGCAGTTCTTATATAACAATAGGATGACTTATTAGGTTCCTAGTTGGTGATGGCATTATGTTGGTACACAAGCATCAAATATGGAATGCCAATTTTTATTGTAAGCAGAAGACACTAATAAAAATCCATGTGCTAGAAACAAGTTTGTAGCCTGAAGAGTAAGGTTTCATCTCCTTTTCTTCAGGACAGATAACTCTATGCATCAACTAGCAAGTGAAATTCATCTAGTGACATTAGGGTTTATGCACTTAGGAAAAACATAGTAAGTGGACACTGCTAGATCCAAAACGGACAAAATCTATAGACTCAAGAAGAGCACATACTTTCCACAAAATTGAATGAAGGGCATAATTGAAATATCACATTCTCGGTAATGAATGAATGGTCAACAAACATGTAGTTTATACTGCATCTCCACCTAACTCATGGTATTCATCTAATGTACAAATTAGGAAAGCACTTAACTGACAAGTATGTCAAAGATCAAGGATATGGCTCTGGTTAAGGAGGATTTAATGTCCCCCTAGGTCAAGAATCTTTAATTGAAAAGAAAAGACTCTTAATTAATCAAATATGTAAGCCAGATAAAGTTCCAACAAACTATATTATAGCAAGCATGACACTAATGCAGAGGAAATACTTCTTAAACCATAAGACATAAATCAAGTCTAATCTAGAACAAATATTTTTCAAGCCAAATGGAAGGAATCTTGCAACAGAAGAGACAGACTATTTAAGTGTTTCATTTGGTCTTGTAACCACTTCTCAGGCATTCATTGCAAATATTAATTCATGCCCATTTTTAAAAAACGCAGAAGCACTATGATGGTGTGTCTACAATGCAAGTGTTCATGGTTACACGTGTGTTTTTGTGCCATTACCCCCCCTACCGTCCTGAAGCACTTCCTGAGGGACAGTCTAATGTGAGAAAGCTAGCATTCATGAGGGGTGTGGGTATGTACATGCCTCCACTGTGGCATGGCTTTGTTCCTGTTGTACAGTGCAGCATAGACGGGGGCAAGGAGCGCACAGCAGGTCACAGGTATTGATAGCCTTCCAGGCCCATTTCCACAATGCATTGATCGCTTGGATGCCTGACCCTCACCCAAAATTATAAAAGGTCTCTGACTCACTGTTGCCAGAGGTACTAGCAACGTGCATTGAGCACTTTCAATTCTCCTTTGAACTGTACTGATTAGCACCAGTGATCATGGAGCATGTTCCAAAAGCTGCCACGTGGTCTTTAGAGCACATCTGGGTGCTGAACACTGCATGTTCAGTGTACACTGTCCTCTATGACTTCACAAGTACCAGCAGAAACATTCCCCTCTACTGGGAGGTTTCATGGAGGCTGGAGAAGGCAGACGTTCACTGGACTATGTCCCAGGAGTGCATGAAGGATCTCAGGCTCCTGTATCAGAGTGACGGACAGTTGCTCGGGGAGAGGGCCTAGCATATGCTCTTGCTTTGAGGAACTGGACCAACTGCTCCCCAGGGCTGCAAGTATTGAGCCAGAATTCAATCATGAACACTGCCAACCACATTATACAATGGGACCCCGATGAGGGTCAGGGCACGGAAGCAGCAGGAACCTCAGAGGAAGCTCCGGGAGACCTAGATCAGTGGTTCTCAAACTTTTGTACTGGTGATCCCTTTCACATAGCAAGCCTCTGAGTGCGACCCCCCCCCCCCGTTATAAATTAAAAACACTTTTTAATATATTTAACACCATTATAAATGCTGGAGACAAAGCAAGGTTTGGGTTGGAGGCTGACAGCTCGTGACCCCCCATGTAATAACCTCGCGACCCCCTGAAGGGTCCCGAACCCCAGTTTGAGAACTCCTGACCTAGAGGAAAAGGAGCAAGTCACTCTGCACCTCTACTCAGCAGACTCAGCTACAGAAGCCTCCCTCGAAGAGGACACAGGCAACAGCAGGAACCATAAACCAAGACTGATGAGTTACAATACACCCTCACACTGTCCAAAAATATTCCCCTCTTGCTTCAGAAATACATTCCTGAAGCCGCTCCCCTCACCACATTCCACCTATGCTCCATTCCAACATGGTCCCTGAGCAAGACACGGCTGTAAATGATTTTATTGAAATCCCAAGAACCACCGTAAAGCATTTAGCATAAACTATAACAGAATATTAACGAGCCATCACTGTGCTTGTGTCTGCACACCTTGGCCAGCACTGATAGATAGTCCCTGAGCTTTAATGGGGAGGGAGGAGGGGAACAGGTTATAAAAGGGCCTGGGTGGGGAAAGAACAGTTTAATGACACTTGTTAGCTTTCTTGCACAAGGTGCACACACACCGCCCCCGCAACCCATTCTTCCTTCTCCTTACAAATGGGAGCCACATGGAAGGGGGTTGGTGGGCCCACTTAAGTCCAGGAATGGAAAGGGAAAAATTTGTCTGAAGAAAGTCAGAGCAGTCTATTTACCCTGTGACCATTTCAAATGTTTTGTACCATTCCCAGTACTTGGCATCTGCCCTGTTCCCATGCTGAGCCATTCTGCAGAAGCCGGGAGAAGTGGGGGTGGATGAACCATCCACTCCTAGGGCTCCACAAACATCATTCTGTGTCCCTTAGTAGTGGAGAGGCAACTAGCTTGTGGTGTTAATCCAAAAGTTCAGGGAAGAAAATAAAATTTGTGGTGCTACTCTGTTTTCATCCCTTTCAATGCTGTTTGCTGGACATGGGGGCCACAGTTTCTGGCAATGCAGGAGAGGGTTGGGGGCATTTGTGATTCTCTGATCCTCTTCCATGGAAATTCTGTCTTAGAATAGTTTAGTTAATTTCCTTTCAAATTGCCATCCAGTCGCGTAAGCAAAATTTAGCAAATCTTTTGTATAGCAGAAATTCAAGCTGATTCTTTAACCAGCAGGGCAAATGTGGTTGGTCCATCTTCAAAGTTAACCAAATCCCTCCACGCAGCAATATGTAGCAGGGTCACCATTAGCAGAAACATTTTTCTGGCATAGGTGGCTGGGTGTCCTCCACAGTGCTAGAAAGCCACTTCTCTTTTCCGTTCATAGCAAAACTGCTACACTCTCCAAATGATGGCCAGCCTTTAAAGAAGAAAAAGACGACTGGTAATGTTACTTTAAAGGAATTGAACCCTACCCCAGGTGGTCCACTGAGGCATTGCACACATTAAACCATTTTTAATAAAAGTAATGCAAGTATCTTACCATTTATATCCTCAGCTCCCTCCTCATGGGCAGCAAAAGCAGTCTGAAGGAAGGAGTCTAAGGATTCCCGGATGCTAAAAAGTATCAATATTGGGGTGTTCAGCAGCATAGTTATGTTGCGCATGGGAATTTCTTAGGTTTCTTCAAAGAAGAAATGAAATATTATGCCTTGTGTTTGACTTGGCAAGACATTCCGATGCTGCCAGGGAACCCATTCAGCCAGGAGAGGCACCACAGAGACAACAGAAGATGACACTGAAGGACTCTGGAGGACCTGCTTGTTGGCACAGACAGAAGGAATCAAGAGCAGTTGGACTTCCTTAGGACAAGGGAGGACTGGGCTCTGAGGAAGGATGAGCCATTCCTGCAAACGGACAGACAACACAGGCAATGGAAGCATGCGAAAAGGGAAGGGGATCATGCACTCACTTAGTCCAACTGGTGGCAGAATGCTCTCTGCTATTCCTCTTTCAGAGCAGGCACCACCACCACCTCCCACTTCTCTTCCTTCAGCAGCTGGCCAAGTTGCTGCTGAGGCCCTGGATCCCCTTCACTCCTCCCCACTGCCAGGGAGGAGCATGCTCAACACCAGGCACAATATGCTCTGCCGCCACCACCACTTGCAGGGGAACCCCTCCCTTCTCCATGCTCTGGGGAAGAGCCTCATCCTGTCCCTGTAGTTCAGCTTGAGCTCAACTCCCAAACCCCATGCAGAAGACATTCCGTTTGTCCCCCTGCACAATAATCCGCAGCCATTCCCTCTCTTAGGGCAAGGGAATGGAGAGGAGACATTTCCACAGACTTTAATGTTTGCCCATTTCCCTGGTGGGTATTTTTTTTGTTCAGTTTTTCCTGTTAAAATTTTAGATTCTAGGTTCAATATATGTAAATAAAAGTTACTGTGCATTTCACTTGTGTGCACCTTGTTTCCTGAGTATGATCAATGTGATACTCCCTAGAGGTTTGGGATGGAGTAGGAAAAGTCTGGTGCCATGGAAATGCAAACAATTTTATCTGTCCCATAAACCCATTCCTCCCACTACTTATGAATTTGCTGATTTAAAAAAAAAAAGGGGTTCTTGACAATGAAGTAAGCCATGAAATAACTGTTACCGTCCAAAGAAAAACAGAGGCTAATTTAACTGAAATATCTTTATGACTTTGTTAATAAGTGACAATACAGAGGAAGGAAACAAAAGTAAAACAACACTGAAGATATCTGACACTGACAGTGCTTTTACGACCCCCACTCCACCCGACCATTACCATTGGAGTGCTAATGCATAGCACCTGATAAGTGCTGTGAGCAACACTGCCAGAAAACATTGTGAGGAAGGAATATGTAAATTCCCTCCCAAAACTTTAGATTTTTAAAAAATTACTTTAACAATGCCTAAACGGGATCAAGTTGCATGTACAAGCTTGGGGAAGTAGTTCTGTCCTGTGCACACTTGCTGTGGAAGTATTCCCCTTTAACCTCACATGAACTATACAAAGCACTGCACACCATTTTAATCTGATTTGCATTAGCCACACTGGCATCCAGATGGGAAGGTGGCATTGTCAATGGGATTTCAGACACCAAATGCAGTCAACCACCATTCTGTAGTTGAATTCCCTTTTACGTGGGTTGGCAATGTTGGGGTAAGGCTTCACAAACTCTGGCAGGAGAGAACATGCAGGGTCCCCGCCACAGTTATGTCATCTCGGGGGAATAAAGTCCTTTCTTCCACCCGCCAACCTCCAACCTCTTGAGCACCCTGGCATCATGAACCAAACCCTGTGGTCCACTAAGCCCTGAAGAACAAGTGAATGGTAACCATTGCAGTTCATGTATTCATTGGCCCCTTTCAGTGGCTTAAGCATAGGGATGTGTGTTCCGTTGATGGCTCTGGCATCCTCTGAAATTCTGCTATCATTTCAGGGTCTTCGGTTATGGTAACCACCTGTTGGTAGATCTCAGTATTGATAACCTCACAAATCTGTACAACCACCGCCCTGACAGTTGGCTTTCCAACCCTGAGCTGGATTGCAACTGACTGGCAGCTGTTGGGTGTTGGCAGCTTCCAAAGGGTAATAACCACCCACTTCTGTACCGGTATGGGTTTCTGAAAATGAGTGGTCTAGCACTGGAGCGTTGGTGCAAGCTCTTTGCAGAACTTGATTAACGTCTGCTTCCTCATTCCAAAATTCTGCAACTATGGTTGTCATGCCAGGTTTCCAAGATGATTTTCCAGGACAAGAAGCAGCAGTCCACCTTGGGCATACTGTTGTGGTCCTGGCATCCAAAACACCTGTTCCAAGGGATCCAAGTGGATTTTCATTCCCCCTTCGGGCCATCGATTTGCACCATCTGAAATCTCTCCACACCAATTCCATCCGGTATCTGGTACTGCGCTGCATGAATATTTGTCCAGCAAGTGATAGCATGAGCAGATCATCCTCATTATGGATGTGCTCCATGTCTCCAATGCAGTTTGGCAGAAGGGAGAGATGACAGGGAGCTGACATCAAACGTGTGATGGCAGCATACAGTTCCAGCAACATGCAGAAAGGCACTTTCTAGAGAGTGTTTCTTGTGATGCACAAGATTCTGGGATACTGCCCCAAAATGTTGTGTACCACCAACATCATGTAATGAAAAGGTGCAGTGTGGATGAAGGACTACGCCAGTGCACAGCATATATCCATGCTCAGCTCAGCATACGTGAACACTCAGTGCAGGTACGGGGTACACACTCTAACTGTTCATGGACAAGTAACTGTGTTCACTCGCAAGTGTTGACATAGACTAAGTGTTTAATGTTGGACAAAGGTGGTCATGGTCTCAGCCCCAAGGAGGTCATAGTTTAAACTGGACAATACAATTAAGAGTCATTAATGACAGGAATTGGAAGGCCCACTCTCCAAGTGATGCAGATGTATAACTAAGTTTCTCTGATGGGTTATCGCTGTAGATGCCTTGTAAAAGGATTGTATTATGGAGGGATTGGCATGAAGAGATACTGAATGGTATCCTAGAATAGGCATAAGCAAGCATATTCTAAGCATAAGGGCAGCAGTGGAAAAGTAGGGTAATGATGCTTGGAGGAACGTTTGGCCATGTCAGGAAGAAGTGAGAAAGATTTGGGGGAAACTGAGCACATCAATAAAGCTTCTCTCTATCTAGGTTATTATGCCCAGTTTATCACCTTGGCTTAATCTGAATGCCTTGAATGTAAGGCAAAAGGAAGTCAGTAAAAGGATTTGAATAAGAGACTGACAGGAGCTCAACAGCAGTAGATAAAGATGACTGCAGTATCACAACTCTGGATGGACTCTAGGATAATAAAAAAATACATTCTAAAACTTAAAAATCATATAGGACAAGTTATGATTAACAGAATCAGAACTGAGGATCTTTGTTAATATTGAACCACCAGATGTGGAGTAGCTTTGGGTGGTTAAAATGAAAGTAAAGGCAAGGGGACAGGCTAAGCTGGTTTTTAAGATGTAGCTAGAATACCCAATACAGGCAATAATTATTACTACTGTTTACAAAGGATATACCAAGTTAACAAGGATGCACTGGTGACAAGAAAACGTGAAGGGTATAGGGTTAAAGCATAAAGTTTGTTGTCTGCTCTACATGAAGACAATACTAGGTCTCATTATCTTAGGAAAAGTCTAGAATGCAAGTCAGAAATGGGATAATGCCATTTTCTACTAAATTAACTAACTAATACATTTGATGTTTTGCTACCAGTTGTCCAGATTCAAGCTAACTTGGTCAACCTCTTCCATCCTTTTTTCAAAATTTAAGACCTAGTGTGTTTACTATAAAACTGAGTGCAATGTGGTTAATTACATCTTTACTTTACATGACCACAAGAAATGTGTAAGTTTTGAGACTTTCAGCACAGAAGCTAAATTAAATTCAAGGAGTGGTGAGGAACCCTCACAAATCCTCTTGGCTCTTTCTAGTTTGCTGAACATTTTGCAGGATGCAATGCGCGACATCAAGACAATGGGTTACGACACTTCTGGTATCACAGAACAATCAACTCTGCAATATTTTCAGCAAAATTGGGAAGTGACAAGAGGACTGCAATGATTCCCCCCCTTCAATTGTACTTGCTTCTGCACTAACTATCCCTCTTAACCTGGCTACTGGGGCAGTAAGCACAATCTGTGCTTAAGTCAATTTTCATTTCAGCTTTTCAATTCATGATCGTAGATTCACACTTGGCATACCTAGGAAAAGATGCAAAGACAATTAACTAGTTTCTCAACTTATTTTCCCAAAAGCCATCATATCTCATGAACATTGGGCCCAGCCCATGATTGATGGAATGTAATTAACTTATTATCTAGTTACTGAAATCAGGGCTGTAAGAATACGGTAAAAACACAGATTCCTGTATATGTAAGTCACAAGGTGCAAAAGAGGGGCTATATAAAAAACTGAGAAACAATCTTGCTTTTTAAACATCCACTTACAGGTAAATACTGGAGGCTGTCTGAACTGAGAACATTTACAAAAAAATCACCTGTGCTAACAGAAGGTCAGTGGAATCAACATTAGTACCTCTGGGAACCCTACTGAAGACAATACTCCCACAGACAAACCCATTTTAATTAGCTCAGTTGAAAGTTTAATAAAAACGGTTGAAAAAAACAAGTCTAACGACGTGAGCGTTGCATTCCTTTGTCATATTCCATGGGGAACTAACAGTTATAAATTGTCCATGATAACTATAGAGAGATGGTTGATACGGCTATCAGAGTGCTACACAACATAGCCCTTTATTTCAGCCCCTTGATATTCTCAGGTTGCTAGCATTTTAGAAAGGATAGAACACTAACAATCTGCATATAATATGCTAACACTAAGCGTAGGCTGTATCACTTGCAGTTATTCACTTTAAAAATATAATTTGCTTTACATCACTTCATTAAAAGCAGTTGAGACAAATGATTTAACAGAACAGTTCAAGTTAACATTTCCCCTTAGAGAAAATGTTTATCAGTTTTAAATACCTATTTTCATAGCTTGTTATCATTTTGAATTTTAAAGTAATTTAACTTCTTGTTCATTGAAATTTGTTTTCTCACACGATTTACATTCATTTCTAACAACTAGTCTTAAACATTTTGACCTGTCTTCTACTTATTCTTCATGTCAATCAATCTTATGACTATTAGAGAGTTTAAGGGCTCAAGTCTATCTGGTTATACCTAGCTGCCTGGTGGATATACAGAAAATAAATGTCAGAAGACTAACCAAGTGCCACTATAAACTCTTGAAGTGATAACTCTAGTGAACAGGTTAGAGAACAAGAGCAAGATCATTAGTGGACGCACTTTAAACTGTGCCACTTGGATAAACTAGTAGTAGGTTAAGTTATCTATTGTGTATGGAAGTATTGGTAAAAATATAGTACTAGTAAAATTTACTTCAGCTGCTAAAAAAACATCCCAGAACTATGAAAACAAAGTTGATGTGTCTCTCACCTGCAGGTGGAAAACGGAGCAAACTGGACACCTTTTTCTTTGCATTCTCTCACTATTCTTTCCTTTACATTCCTGCAGAGGTCTATAACCCTGTAACAGAATATATAGTTAAAAAAAATAAAACAAATTTAAAACATTTCCTATGCAGCACTCTATGCACTAATTTGCCTTCAACTAGCAATATTCCCTTTTTATTACATTTATGCCTCTAGTTTAAAACTCACATACAACTACAACAATCTTCCTCACTAGTCCAAAACAATACACTTTAAATGAAACCAAACCTAAACTGTGATTATTAAAAAAAAAAAAAAGCATAAGAAAAAATAATGCCCATCAGACCTCTATAAAAATAGTACTATTCCTCTTCTGGGCATCTATTGGGTGACAAGTTTATAATTTTGATTGTACATGTTAGCTCCTGAGACTATTGTCTTTTCAGAGGACATAAGAGAGCACTGTACTATCAGTGAAGAGGAATGTGTTGGATATTTTCTTCTGAGCTGAAGTGGGGCAAAGGTGTTTGGCACAGTAGCTTAGAAAACAATTCAAAATAGAAGCATGTACATGTACACTATGCAATACAACATCCTTTTGATTTGAGCTAGAAGAAATTCCTCCAGATGTTGAAGATGTGTATTAATTTACCAGCTAGAATCTTATTAAAATTATAATTTGGCACTAAACTATTAAAATAAGTCATAAAACCAGTGATATTTATTTAATTTTATTATTGCATTTCTCTGGGACTAATCCAGGGGCATTCAAAACTTTGAAACACAGTTTGAAAGGTGGGTTTTTTCATTTAATTTAAACCACTCCAGGTAGGCTCTCACACAGAACTAGAGAAATGCTATTTAACAATTGTTTAAGTTTAGAAGTTTTATACAGATCTGTATTTGGAAAAAAACATTTGGATTTGGAGGGAGGAACATTTGAAATTAAAATAATTTTCCTCAAAATGTCTATCAGCTAATCTACAGTGACATGCTGGTAGAGACTCTGAAGGAAGGTAAAGGCCCCAAAGCCAAATCCGGAAATGAGTTAGTAAGTGAGCAGAATGAGTGAAAAATAGGTTTGAATCAACAGATGTAAAAACCTGTTCACTCTGCTCACCAAACTGTAAAGGGGAAAGTGAGAAAAATCTAAGTCAAGTGACTGGATACTTTGACACTAGCTGAAAATTAAATTTCTATAAGGGAGATAATAATTAACTAAATTTCAGTTGTTTTAAAATCCTTCCACTGACACATTTTAGAGAAGGAAACAGCAGCCTCTAAAACAAGGACTGAAACAGTGTTCTCGTAGCTGCTAAATCCAAGAACCAGGATGCTGGGTTTGTTGGGAGTCTGAACACACACAAGTCATTTCAAACTTAATTTCCTATCAACTCTATAATCATAAGCTATCAGGGGACCAAAACTGATAAGAATCTGTTTAACGTGTGGGGTAAACAGGAATTTTAAAAAAAGAAAATGAACAGAGCAAATAGGTTACATAGCACTTGAGATCTCCAGAATTTGACCTATTTAAATATGTTTAGGACTTGATTCTCAGTTGTGGTGGAGAGCTGAGGTAAAGCTTAGAATAGAGAGATAATAATACTGGGGGCATCTGCACTGAGCTAAACCCCTGATGTAAATGTAATTTGAATCAGCTGCCCAAGGGGATATCTGGCAGCCAAGGATCAGCAGGGTCTAAGGACATCCTATCCATGCTCCCTGGTTGGGCTGTAGGAAGGGGTGCTCTCCCCTGTGCAGGGGAACTCCAGCTAGCCAAACTGGCTTCAAGGCCATTTTGCGCTGCCCCATTGCAGGGGAAGAGCTGGTATACAAACCTTAAACCACATGATTGTTTAAGATTAGGTAATACAAAATGAAGCCTACTTCCTTCCCCTGCTGGCTAGCTCACTTCTCTGCAAGCATCTTACTCACAATTCTGTCCCTGCTTAGCCAAGTACAACTTTAGAAAAGCAGCAAGCAAGAAGGGGAGATGCTGAGCATCTGCCTGCCACCGAGTGGCTGAGATAGCAGTTTTTCATGCTGGTTTTAAAATACGGGACATGTCCTCTCCAAATCTGGACTACCACCAGATATGTTGGCACTTTTCCACCACTCCCAACAAAGGGATCCATTCAGAGAGCAAGGTTTCATGATGCCTTAGATCAAGATATCTCGTGTGCTCCTGTGGGGAGCAGAGGAGAGGCATATACCTGGATGGCTATTCAAAGAGAACAAGTAGAGAAGTCAGGCAGCTAAAAAGAGTAAGCTACTACTGTGCTCATCAACTTCAACCCCTGCTAAGAATTGCTTCTGCAGTAAAGGCAGATGCACACCTGGTACTGTTGTACTGTACCATACCACAACCCCAGAAGAGATCTTACATCCACAGGAAGGGAGCTCACCCAACAAGTTGGGAAACATTTAGCTCCTTCAGGAATTCTTCACAACACTACATAGTTTTAATAATTTAAACTGTAAAATCATCAAGTGTCATCAGCTCATTCACTCAACCTCTTAAGAATGATTTTTCAAAGAACAGTTTAAAGACCAGAATTGTCACATTGCAAACCCACAATAAAAAAAAGTTACAATCCTAAGCAAGCAACATAAGCATATTGTAAAGTATTTATTCTGCATGGAATGGTTATGTATATGAAGTTTGAAACAGAATATGGCTCTGATTCTACATTTTACTTTTAACATTTCATTAATTTTTCAAGCCCAGTGCCACTTCTAATTCAACAGTACCAAAAGGGACTACACTTCTGACCACAGAATTCATATAATTCATGCTTCACAATGGCTCAGAAGTACACATTAACATAGTTTGGCGTGTTTTCGTGCTTAAGTAAATATAACGGTTTATTCTTTATGTTTTATGTATACACACTTTCAAATTCCTATCAATGTCTCAAATTAAAGAAAAAAATGCTCAAAGACAAACTGAATAGATATCCATTACAAGATAACCAAGTTTTAATAGAAGTTTTGAACAAAAGACTACTACAATTATTTTACCTATCCCAGGGAACAGAAGTCTCAAATGATTCTCCTATTACATAGTAATCCAGGCCCAGGTCCTATTAAAGAACGAAAAGAAAGGAAAGGACCAGTGAATTAGTGTCCTAATTAATGTACATCTTTAGCTTCAGGATTCCAATTTACTTTAGGCAGCTGCTAGACTGAGAATCACTGTTTTGTGTGATTTTTACCTCGAAGACAGATTTGGCAATCTACACTTATAAGATTTACATATCTCAAAAATCAAAGAATATATATACTGGGACCAAACCTAAGTTTTAAATATTAGGAAAAATGCTGAAAGGGACTGGTAGTGGGATGCAACGCTTTTCATTTTTCGGCAAATAGTACAAATCTGACCCTAACGGATAGCTACCAAACATTGTTACCACGGACGCATGTTTAATAATCTATGTTAAACACCTGGGGCATTGTTCCTGTCTCTTAGTGAAGAAGTATTTATATCACAAAAACTGCCGCTATTCACAAAAGCACACTTCTTGTCTGTCTCAACAGTGGCTGACTGAATGGGCATGGAAACAATCAGCTACCTTCCCCATACTTAGAAATGGTTCCTTCAGTTTATAACTTCACAAAGTTGCCAGTACCTGTGCTGTATCTGTTTAGTGGTTAGAAGACTTCAGTTTTCCCAGACTATCAATCCAGCAGCTTTTATAGCATCATATTAAGTAAAACAGATTTTTAAAATAGTCATATGTATATCTGTCTACAATCATAACTTTCAAATGGATTACTTGCAGTGTTATCAGGTAACATTGTTTTTGTAAACATTACATTTCAGCAACACTATTCAGATATGTTAGCAAACTTAAGTGATTACTCAATAACTCAAGGAGACTATTAACATGTTTAAAGTTAAGCACCAGCATAAATCTTTGGAGGATTGAGGCCTAACATTGGTTTTGATAGTGAAACTATCACACAAATATATGTATCAGTTCCCTAAAAATGACACCATACAGAAAAACAGGTTACAAACTACAATTTTGCAATGAACCTGAAATACCAAAAAAACCACCAAAATTATATGCTAAGTAAAAAGATAGGCTTTTATGTACTCTTCGGAGAATAAAATAATGAATTCTGAGATAAAACACCATTGGAAACAAACAAGAAACTTTTCACAGTAATAAATCTAATGGCAAAATAACTGAGAAACAAGTAAAATACTTGAGTAATTTTAAAAGAATTTGAATCTTTAAGTGTGTTGAAAGCCATTAGGATATCTGAAAATAAGTTCACTGGTTCTTCAAATCAGATGTACTATACAATTTTGAACAGCCTGCATCTGAGACTTTAAGAGACCACAGGATGTAAAGAAAAAATGTGACTAGAGTATAAAAACATAATAAAAAAATCACAAATACATAGCACTCACTCACGGAATACAAAAATAAATCTGAATCAAGATTCAACGGAAGAAATATGATTTTCTTAGATACCACCTTCCCTTTTTGCCCAAGACAAGAAAGTTAGCCACGAAGTGAACATAATGATAAAACTAAGTGATGCTACCATAGAATCAGACTAACAGTTGGACAACAATTGGCAAGGAAACAGTATTCCTTTAGTAGACTCAAATCAATACAAAAGTTTAGAGAGAGAAATCAAGTGGGCCAACTCCATGAGAGAAGGGCCTAGAAGGGAAATTGCCATAAAAATGAGAAAATACTACAGGAGTGGAGAAAAAGGGATAGCAATGCCTAGGAGATAAACAGTCAAGACGACTTAGAGGTCATAATTTAACATGTGGTTTAATGAAGTCCAAAAAAGCAAAAAACAAAACAAAAACCCACCAAACAAATAAGACAACCCCCAACCTGCCAGTTAGTAAAAAGAAATGATTACCTTGAAAAATTAAATGTGAAAAGTGGGATCAGGACTGAAAGTGATTGAAAGTATTATTGGAGAGATATAAAGAAAGCCAAGAGAAATATTCTCCAATTAGGTCTTTGAAAAAGGAAGACAGAATAGAAGCAAGAACAACTAGATAAAGAAGTGGGGAAGACAGAAGCAGCCCAACTGTGACTATTCTAAAAGCTTCAGAACATTTACCACCACAAAGATAGTCACAACACCTGTCCTATGAAGTTTAAGAGTTGTTATTGACTGGACAACAATGTGACAATGGGGCTCATTAAGTGTCATTATTCACCACATTATAAACAGAAGAAAGGACAAATGAAAGGATGAACTAAAATGCTGATAAAGTAAAAGTGGACTAAATTCATGTTGATTCAAGTATATATTATAGTATATATTGATATAAAGATTGCACATTTTATATTATGCACACCGAAACCAACATTATAAAATGCGCTTCTGCTTGCAGAAGGTTTAAGTCTACCATAAAGATTATGGGATACAATATCACAAATGGGAAACAATGTTACACGGTACAAGTGTGTTTGCAATTTTGAAACCATGGAATCATAATGTAGAGGAAAACTATTCCCAAAATGCTGGTGCAATTTACTAGCCATTTTGTGAAGAAGGCTCAGAGACTGCTCATAATTCTGAATGGGAAACTTGAGACACACATATTTGAAACTTATTTTTTTAAATCTCTGAATCATTGTATTTTAGGCATTTCTACTGGAACCATGGCTGAGTATTTGAACACCCACCATATTTAGTATTTTGTCCAGCTGTATACCTCCAAACATATGCACAGCTCTAAGTAACAATAGCAGCTATACATGTGTATCCAAGGCCAGATACTGGCTCATCATATTGAATTATTGGCAATGTGAATAGAAAAAGAGGATTATAAAGTATCCTAATCTTTAAACATGGAGTATATCTTGTCTAAGGAGTTCTCTTGTGGCTTACAAAGAAGTTCCCTGCACTGTGTCACATGAACACACTGATTCCTGGTCTTATTCCCCAGCCCAGAGTTCTATCGAAGATAGGAACTTAACTGCTCAGAAGAGCACCATGCACTGCTTAAATGACTCCTTTGGAGAAACAAGAAGTGGCAGCAATAAGCCATGGAGAAAGTCCATCCTGTCATCCCAGCTGAAAGAATGCTGGCTATAACATGGGGTCTTGAAGTCAAGTAGTTTATAGTGGAGGTAATGAGATAGATCTTCCAGGATGCAGATGACCTCATTGAGAAACGCAAACAAAAAAGTGCATTTCTATGGTGGAAAGGCCTGCCAAATTACTGGTGTGCATATACATCAAATAATTATTGCTGACTGGTTAGTATTACAGCAGCACCCAGAGGCTCCAACCAAGATTCGGGCCCCATTGTGCTAGGCACCGTACAAACAGTCCCTGCCTCTAAGAGCTTACCATTTAAACAAACAAGACAAAGGGTAGTAGAAAGGATGCATTTATCCCCATTTTATAGATGGAGAACTGAAGCACAGAGAAATTAAGTGACTTGCCCAAAGTCATACAGAAAGTCAGAAGCTTGAAACTGAACATAGATCTCTCTAGTCCCAATCCAGAGACTTAACCACACAAAGTCTTCCTTCCTTGCTGAATGATTGCCTTTTAAAACACGCTTAAGTCCTACAATTAAAAACAGCATTGAGTACTGAGTTTGTAGATTGGAGCCAGGAACTCCTGGGTGCTAATCCTGGTTCTGTCACTTACTCAGTTTGTGGCCTGGGGAAAGTCACTTATGGCCTGATTTTCAGAGGTAAAGAGTATCTGCATCTCCCAAAAGGTCAGTGGGACACCTGGATGTTTAGCACCTCTAAAGATCAGTCCATTAGGATTTACAATTCAATTTCTTTATCTGTCTGGAAAAAAACTTGCCATAAAAGGGGGTGCAAATTAATGTTTGTACAGTTTTTTAAAGGTGAAAATCACAAATAAATGCCAAATTTATGTACATGCAGTATTGTTGTAGCTGTGCTGGTCCTAAAATATTAGGAAGAGAGAGAAGGTGGGTGAGGTAATATCTTTTATGGGACCAACTTCTGTTGGTGAGAGAAGCTTTTGAGCTTACACAGGACTCTTCTTCAGGTCTTGGAAACTAACTGAAAGCGTCACTGCAAGGGCCCTACCAAATTCATGGCCATGAAAAACACGTCATGGATCATGAAATCTGGTCTCCCCCTGTGAAATCTGGTCTTGTGTGTGTTTTTACCTATACTACACAGGTTTCACAGGGGAAAACAGCATTTCTCAAATTGGGGGTCCTGACCCAAAAGGGAGTTGCAGGGGAGGTTGCAGTATTGCCACCCTTACTTTTGCGCTGCTGCATTCAGAGCTGGGTGGCCGGAGAGTGGCAGCTGCTGACTGAGGGCCCAGCTCTGCAGGCAGCAGCACAGAAGTAAGGGTGTCAATACCATACCATGTCATCCTTACTTCTGTGCTGCTGCTGGTGGCGAGACTGCCTTCAGAGCTGGACTCCCAGCCAGCAGCTGCTGCTGCTCTCCAGCTGCCAAGCTCTGAAGGCAGAGCTGCCGCCAGCAGCAGCGCAGAAGTAAGGGTAGCAGTACCACAACCCCCTACAATAACCATGCAACACCCTCAACACCTTTTTTTGGGTCAGGACCCCTACAATTACAACACCGTGAAATTTTAGATTTAAATAGCTGAAATAATGAAATTTACGATTTTAAAAATCCTATGACTGTTAAATTGACCAAAATGGACCGTGAATTTGGTAGGACCCTGGTCATTGCTAAATACAAGGTGGAACACATTTCAAGTAGTTAGCACATTTCAAGGGACCATTTAGGGTGAAGTTTCCCATGAACACACAGAGTCATAAGGAGGACAAGAAGGGGGCGGGGAACCAACTTGAGGGCGGGGGGTTGTTCGTGGGTTACAGATTGTTGTAATAAGCCCTAAATCCAGTGTCTCTATTCGTTCCATGATTTAAAAAGATAGGCCTGTGAGCTTAAATTCATTAAACTTTGGCAGCCATTAAAAAAGTGTTGTGCAGGTTTCCTTTGAGGAAGGGGACTGAGAGGTCAGATATGGAGTGATTGCTTTGTGAAAAAAAGAGTGTTCACTTACACATGATCAGATGTTTTTATCTTTTATCATGCTCCTGTGTGAATCCATTTGAGAGCGCAGTGATTGTCTGGTTTCATCCACATAGTTGCTCTTGGGACATTTAGTGCACTGGATGAGGTCCACTGCATGTTGTGATAGGCATGTGTCTAGCAAAACTTTGCCAGACACTAAAAATCATGGATTTTTACCTTATTTAGTTAGCAGTGACATACTGAGTTAGTTTCCCAGAAGCTGAAGAAGAGCTCTGTATAAGCTCGAAAGCTTGTCTCTCTCATTAACAGAAGCTTGTCCAATAAAAGATTACCTCACTCAACTTCTCTCTAAATTTATGTACATGTAAAAAAAGGCACAGCCCCAACAGAGAGTTTTGATTAATCTTTTCAAGTCTAAAGAAAGTTTGCATAAAGAATTTGAAAAAAAATCTTTATGGTTTCTATATGATTCGTTGGGTACGGAAATAGTCATACCAGAGCAGCAGAGAATAAAAGAGTGACCTACCCGAAGGTAAGCGATGACAAATGTCAGCATGTAACCTCTCTGTCCATTATCTTCTCCAGCTGCCAGACCACTGCAATTGATGACAGTTAATTATTAACATGGATTTCAAGTGAACTGTTTTTCACAGCTTTCCAATAAAAATAATAAAATACTTTGGGTCAAGAAATTTATATGCAAATAGATCAGCAACAACTTCAACCTGAAATGGTTTCCAGTTTAAACCAGAGTTGAAATTTGTTTCAGGTCACCTAGCAGAAATCCTCCTATTTTTTAAAAACAATGTTTTATCCCTGGTTGTTGAAAGGCCCACACGAAGAAGGGGAACTGATCATACAGACCGGGTAAACAGTGAAACTCGCTATACATGGAATAGTTATGTACAAAATTAACAATCTGGGGCGGGGGTGGGGGGAGTATTTCTCAGTGATGCTAAGCATAGACATTACTTGTAAAAATCGTAGGTAAAAAATTCCATCAGAAGTGTGATTCTCTTTTAAAAGTGTGAATCTTTTAGAAGACAGTAAACTGCTAGTGTTAAAAATGTGTCCACTACACACTTTTAAATCTATTCTATTTGTAAAACCCGAAATTTCGTCTTATTTTAAGTTGGATACAGAATTTGGGTAATCAAGATGATAGTCTAAAAAGTTTAATATTAAAAATTATATATATAAACCTAAAACTATCAAAAGGTATGTATTCTTACTAGATGTTTGTACAGGGTCTAGAACAATGGGGCCCAAACCATCACTGGGGCCTCTAACTGCCACTATAATACAAGTTATTACTACTAATCATGCAATTGTCATGACTTCCAAATAAGGAGGTTTCAACCTGGAATTAAGGTTGAAAGACCCGATGATTAATTCAGGGTAACGTATTACAGAGATTGTGCAATTATCCCAAAGTCGAGCACTATAATCCCAGGAAATTCAGAGTTAAGATTAAACAAAAGAAATGCAAACATATAGGGAAGTGCACAGTTAGCACACCAGAACTCTGTCTCATAACAACAACAATACCATGTAATAAAACATAATTATGATTAGCGTGTACAATAGACTATATTAAGCAGATTTTAAAAGACAATAGGTTTTTTTTTCCCTCATTTTTTCCTCTCTTCATGTCACGAAGGCAGCACTAAAGTTGTTGGATGCCTTCATTGTGCATTTCCACATCTTAACATGTTTGTCTTTCAAATTAAGCTTAAACTCTGGATTTCCTGCATTTTCATAGATTTTTCAGGGCAGAAGGAACCATTACATCATATAGTCTGGCCCCCAAATTGTGTTTGACTGAAGTGCATCATCCAGAAAGCCTTCTAATCTTGATTTGAAGATATCATGAGATGGAGAATCCACCATTGCATTTAGTTGTTTGTTCCAAGTGTCATTCAACCTCACCATTAAAAATCTGTGCCTTATTTCTAATTGGAATTTATCTGGCTTTAGCTTCCAGCCATTGATTCTGGTTATGCCTTTCTCTGCTAGGCTAAAGAGCCCTTGGGCATCTAGTATGTTCTCCCCACAAAATTAATGATACATTGTAATCAAGTAATCTCTCAATCTTCTATTTGACAAGATTAACAGACAGACCTCTATGTTTCTCACTGTAAGGCATTTTCTCAAACCTTCAAATAGTTTTTGTGGTTCTTTTCTGCACTCATTCCAATATTTCGACATCCTTTTAAAAATGTGGGAACCAGAACGGGACACAGCATTCTAGTGTATGTATCATCAGTGTAATATACAAAGGTAAAAACCACTTTCCTACTCCCCTGATTATACATCCAACTATTTCATTAGCCCTTTTAACCATAGCATTGCTCTGGGAGCTCTTGTCCATTATGTCCCCTAAATCCTTTTCAGAATCCGTGCTATCCAGGATGCATTACCCAATTATGTAAGCATGACCTTCCTTCTTTGTTCCTAGATGTAAGACTTCAAAATTTGGTTATTTTAAAATACATTTTGTTTGACTAGACCTAGCTTAACTAAGCAATCCAGATCACACTGTATGACTACCTTGTCCATAGTTATAATGCTTGTTGGGTTTTTTTGAATAATTACACCATTACCTTACCTTCAATTTAATATAATTTTATATCGAGGAATTTCTTTCTTCCTTTTTTTTTTTAAGATTAAAAACTACATACATGAGCAGTTAACAAAAAATGAAGAAAGAGCGTTACTACGTGATATTTATAATTATCTGAACACATGTAATATCAGTTTGAAATCTTTTTGGGCCAGATTCACCAGTGTGTTCTGCCTGCTTTACTCCAGTCTGGAGCAGCATAAAAGTCAGTTTCTACCAGCTCCTGTTCTCCCCCTCCCCCCATACACACACAGTTTACCCCTCGATAAAATTCCATCCAAACTCTCCCAGTTTCCTCAGTTTGTGCCTGTCCTTCCCTTCCTTCCTGTTCTCCCTCTTGAATAGGTCTGGTGCAATGGACAGATTTGGAAAATAAACATTTAGGATTAATGGTTTTGCCATTCTTCGTAACTAAAAGTTTCTTCTCCAACAGGGGATTATGGACAACAATCTTCTACAAAGAATTCCAGTAAGAACTGTTTTCTTGAAAAATGGCTGCCCTCTCCTTTTATCATCAACTTAAATGGACCCAATTTTCAGAAAGTATTGAGCATCTGCCCTCTGAAAATCAAGCTCCTTTATTGTGTCTCAAAGTGAGCACACAAAAATGGAAGCACCCCATATTATTTGTATTACCATAGTGCCTAGGTCTAGAACCTCATTGTGTTAAGACTCTGCACAAACAGAACAAAAAAAACCACTGTCCCTGCCCCATTTGTTAGTTTTGAAAAGACAGGCCTGAGTGTAAGATGTTCCTGATTCCTTTTCAATATTTTCTCACCAGAGGTTTATTAACCCCAACTTCTTTTCTGTATCAGTGCTACAACCACCAGCTTTAAGAACTGAACAAGAAAACCTAGAATGAAACAAGTCATAACACTGAGCTGGAGATGAAACCGCTTAAATCTTCATGACTCCATTTAAAAAAAAAAAACTTCTACTTATCTATATTGTTCTTTAATAGACTCCACATGTGTCAAGAGAATATAAAAGGTTGACCATAGTTCCAAAGTTAAGAGGATTGCCATAAGAAGAGGTAAAAATTAAATGAAGTTAAGCTTTTCTTAGTAGATTCCACACAGTTCCTAGATAAAAAAGATCCTCTAAATCAATCACTGGTGTTTCTAAAATAATTCACATTGAAAATGGAGAGTTCAAAGAACATTTTCCTCAAAACTAAAGGAATGCAGCCGGAAAATCTCAGAACAGCTTGTAAAACTTTAGCCTACTCTCCATATGTTTGATTAAACTTCTAAATTTGGCTTTGCCTCTCCCCTACAGTCAATGGGATAGTGTCCTCCTGAACACTCGCCTTGCTCTTCTCTCAATACACAAAAAGCATTCCATACAATCAGGAATATAAGGTAAGAGTTTTGGACAGGTGAACTTTGCTTTTCTGTTAATTTTAAGTTATTTTCCATAAGCAAGATTTATACTTCATTATATACTTTCTGCAGTCATGTAGTAAAAAGCTCATCAGTGTAAAGTAATGTGAAAAGCAAACAATCTCTCTAAACAGCATCAGTTAAAATAAAGATCTCTGCCTATTTGTTGTTGTTCACTTGGAGATTTAGTAAAAAGCTAGGAATGTGAGTCTCAGTGATCAAATATGATCAAAACAAATGTTAGTAGCTTAACATCAATATTTCTTCAAGTGATTAATGACTTGATTAGCCCATTGCTGAACAGACTATGAAGCGAAAATGAGATTTAAATTTTAAGCCCTGAATGTAAAAAGATGCTTGAATCAGGTGCTTGAATCAAACTGCATTTACAACAAAACCTGACTCATTACCATCACTGCAATGTCCTTGATGCTACGTACTTTTGCTTCCTTAGATGTGAATGGGACTTAATTCCTGGTTGTTTTTTCCTAGACAAAAATGGACAAGATTTAACTGATCTCATCTATGTTAATATTGAAATTTTAAGTGGTCATAGTTCTACGGGTTTTTTTTACATAATACTTCATTCAGCTCTGCTAGATCAATCAGTTTTTCATGATCAATCTTTCTATTAGATTTAGTTCAGATTGCATAACTCCCTAGTTTCAGTTTTGTATGAACCAAAAAACCTCAAATTCTGATTGGCTAAAAATTACTGGGTTTGACCATTACAAAACTGCTGAATCTTGGTGCTTTTGTAGCTAAATAGCTTAAGGTTGCTAGCGTAACAAAACAACACTGATTGCTAGTTTCAGGAAAACTTCTCCCTGATACCGAGAAAACAAAGATTCAGCAACAGGTTTATGGGAACCTTTTGACATATTAAACCTGAGAGTCAGAATAAAACCTGGCAACATTTGAGGTTTCTCAGGTTCTAGTTTTAGACTGAAGATTTCCTCTCGGAGAAAGACCATATCTGTGTGTGTTTTGGATAACACCGAATACTGTTTGTGTTTAACAAATTATTATAACATTCTTGAATCAGATCATGTTTGTTCAAGGGCTGTCAAGTGATTAAAAAAATTAATCACGATTAATCGCACTGTTAAATAGAATATCATTTATTTAAATATTTTTGGGTATTTTCTACATTTTCAAATATATTGATTTAAATTACAACAATACAAAGTGTACAGTGCTCACTTTTGCTTTTTACAGTGCAAATATTTGTAATAAAAAATATAAAGAAATAGTATTTTTCAATTCACTACAGTACTTGTCTCATGAAAGTTGAGCTTTTAAAAATAGAATTATGTACCAAAAAAACTGCATTCAAAAATAAAACAATGTAAAACTTTAGAGCTTACAAGTCCACTCAGTCCTACTTCAGCCAATCACTCGGACAAACAAGTTTGTTTACAATTTGCAGGAGATAATGCTGCCTGCTTCTTGTTTACAATGTCACCTGAAAGTGAGAAGAGGCATTCACATGGCACTATTGTAGCTGGTGTTGCAAGATATTTATGTGCCAGATGTGCTAAAAATTCGTATGTCCCTTCATGCTTCAACCACCATTCCAAAGGACATTCATCCATGCTGACGATGGGTTCTGCTTGATAATGATCCAAAGCAGAACAGACCGACGCATGTTCATTTTCATCATTTGAGTCAGATGCCATCAGCAGAAGGTTGATTTTCTTTTTTGATGGTTCAGGTTCTGTAGTTTCTGCATCTGAGTGTTGCTCTTTTAACACTTCTGAAAGCATGCTCCACACCTCATCCCTCTTAGATTTTGGATGGTGCTTCAGATTCTTAAAGCTTGTGTGAGTGCTGTAGCTACTTTTAGAAATCTTGTATGGTATCTTCTTTGCGTTTTACCTTCAAATTTTCTGTGAAAGTGTTCTTAAAACAAACATGTGCAGGGTCATCATCCAAGACTGCTATAACATGAAATATATGGCAGAATGCGGGTAAAACAGAAAAGGAGACATACAATTCTCCCCAAGGAGTTCAGTCACAAATTTAAACTAACACATTTTGTTAACAGGTTTCAGAGTAGCAGCCGTGTTAGTCAGTATCCGCAAAAAGAACAGGAGTACTTGTGGCACCTTAGAGACTAACAAATTTATTTGAGCATAAGCTTTCATGGGATACAGCCCACCTCATCAGATGTATAGAATGGAACATATAGTAAGATTATTATATATATTACACACACACACACGGAAAAGGTGGAAGTAGCCATACCAACTGTAAGAGGCTAATTAATTAAGATGAGCTATTATCAGCAGGAGAAAAAAAACTTTTGTAGTGATATTCAAGATGGCCCATTTAGACAGTTAACAAGGTGTGAGGATACTTAACATGGGGAAATAGATTCAATATGTGTAATGACCCAGCCATTCCCAGTCTCTATTCAAACCCAAGTTAATGGTATCTAGTTTGCATAGTAATTCAAGCTCAGCAGTTTCTCACTGGAGTCTAAAAAGAAAAGGAGTACTTGTGGCACCTTAGAGACTAACCAATTTATTTGAGCATAAGCTTTCGTGAGCTACAGCTCACTTCATCGGATGCATACTGTGGAAAGTGTAGAAGATCTTTTTATACACACAAAGCATGAAAAAATACCTCCCCCCACCCCACTCTCCTGCTGGTAATAGCTTATCTAAAGTGATCACTCTCCTTACAATGTGTATGATAATCAAGTTGGGCCATTTCCAGCACAAATCCAGGTTTTCTCCCCCCCCACACACACACAAACCCAAAGTGATCACTCTCCTTACAGTGTGTATGATAATCAAGGTGGGATTATCTTATTAAACTGGAGTCTGTTTCTGAAGCTTTTCTGTTGCAAAATTGCCACCTTTAAGTCTGTTACTCAGTGACCAGAGAGGTTGAAGTGTTCTCCTACCGGTTTTTGAATGTTATGATTCCTGAGATCAGATTTGTGTCCATTTATTCTTTTGCGTAGAGACTGTCCGGTTTGGCCAATATACATGGCATTGTACAGGGGCATTGCTGGCACATGATGGCATATATCACATTGGTAGATGTGCAGCATATCATCTGGAATGCTGGCCAAAGCATGAAGGGGCATATGAATGTTTAGCATATCTGGCTTGTAAATACCTTGCAATGCCAGCCACAAAAGTATCATGCGAACGCCTTTTCTCATTTTCAGGTGACACTGTAAATAAGAAGCAGGCAGCAGTATTTCCCATAAATGTAAACAAACTTGTTTGTCTTAGTGATTGGCTGCACAAGTAGCAGCACTTAGTGGACTTGTAGGCTCTAAAGTTTTACACTGTTTTGTTTTTGAGTGCAGTTATGTAACAAAAAAGATCTACATTTGTAAGTTACACTTTCACGATAAAGAGATTGCACAACATTACTTGTATGAGATGAACTGAAAAATACTATTTCTTTTGTCATTTTTACAGTGCAAATATTTGTCATAAAATATAAAGTGAGCACTGTACACTTTGTATTCTGTGTTGTAACAGAAATCTATATTTGAATATTTAGAAAAACCAAAAATATTTAATAAATTTCAATTGGTATTCTATTGTTTAACAGTGCTATTAATCGCAATTAATTTTTTTAAGTTAATCGCATGAGTTAACTGTGATTAATTGAGAGCCTTAGTGTTTTTTTTTGTTTGTTTGTTTGTTTTTAAGTCTTTTTACAAATAATCTCTACCATCAAATTACTACTATGGAAAAATAACTGAAAAGACCTGGACTGATTAACCACTGGTCTTAATGTTTTTGTTTTGTTTTTTTAAATTATCTAAATATTTCCTAATTCTGAACTAATTGACTCACTCTCTCTCCACAGTTCTATTTCCATTTTAAAAATGAAAGTAAACTTCTAAGGAGTATTATTTAAACAAATATTTCAGCACATATATGTTTTTATGCAATGTGATATGATCCAAAATTATGAGAATTCCATCTTAGCTCTTCCACAAAGTTCTGAGAAAATAAGTAGTATGTGCAGGACATCTCAGCAGAATACAGATGTGTTCAAATATATGAAATTACACCATTCCACAGATATCTTAATAGTGGCTCCTTGAATTCATAACTAAGAGATATAGGTTGGATTTACATACTCTTGTATTCACCAGGTGAGCAAAACTGGAATGGCTCTAATAGTAGACTATTAAGTCGCAAAGGTGCTTTGGGCATGAGTGAGCAAAGACATTGGGGCCACAGAGAAGGCAAGAGATGGGGAGACTTGTATTGCTCAGCAGCAACACAAACCCACCAATAGAGGAACAGTGCTGAAAGAGGGGTCTTATTTTTCGTTGGCTTGAATCTTATGGCTGCAACAAAGGGCATCATAATTGTTTTAGTGGCATGAGACCTGAGGACTCTGGTCTAGAAAAGAAACCCCACAATGAAGAGGGATAAAAATGAAAGTAATTTACAAATAAAAATGGAGCTAGAAGCTTAAACTGATCAAAATTAAGCCTCACTTTTATTACTATATGCAGAACGGGTAGCTCCACCTATAGGTAAGATTGCCTAATACTTTCCATTTATAACACCCTGTTTTCAATGCAGTGAATGAAACAGGGATCCTGTGGAAAAAGTCGTATGTGATCATGTAATTAAAGAGTTATAATATATACACACAGGGGGATGATTTATGGTTGCACTAGCAGCTTTAATTCTGGCGTTTGTTAACGTCTGAGTGCTTGTCTTTGCCACCTTACGTTCTTGTGTATTTTTATATGTAATAGAAAAAAAGCTAATAAAGTGCACTTAAAAAAAAATCACGGGAATTTTATATATTCAAGAAGGACCAAAGGATACCATATTGTTTGTTAAACATGCTTTTCCGAACCACCTATGGAAAATTTGGTTTACAGTGCGAGTTTTAAAAGATGGTCTAGAAGCACAGAAAAACTTAATATGAATTTATAAAGTACAGCACTGACTGCTTAATTCAAAACATATGAAAAGTGAAACTGAGAATTAGAATTAAAAGTGTTAGTAAGGAGAGTAAATAATAGCAAAGAGTTTGTTTAAAAAGGAAATAAAAATGCAGTTCTGACAAATGAGATCTTCACCATGATTTTCATCAATCAGTCTTGTAATCAATCAAGCCAGATGGACAGAAACCACCCTATCATTACTCAGCCTGTTACTGAAGTGAAATGTTTTCTGTCCCTTTGTAACAGCACAACACAATCAGTGACAAGGGGTGGGATGCAGCTAATTCATCAAATTCCTTTGATTAAACACAATTTCCCCTTAAAATAAGCTTCCTTTTTTTATATGCTCTAGTCATTATTTCCAAATATTAACCTTATAATTTTGTCTCCCTCCTCTGTGCTTTAGGAAGGACGCTACTCTAGTGTCACAAAATAGCAGCCAGTTTCCAGGTCTACAAGTCTGAACACTATGACTAGCATGAAAGAAAGCTTTAACAACATTTCAGATTCTATATTTAGTCAGATACTGTAGTAAACTGTATATCTAACCTGCAGTTTCTCAAATTAAAATGTTAATCAGAAAATTAAATGGCTTTTAACTGTAAAGGGAACATTATATATTTAATTCTACAGATTTTCATTTTAACTTTATAAAATGGTTTAAGGACATAAAACACATAAAATTTCCATTTTGTTTTTGTCTTAAAAATGCAGTAGCCTAATTTTAATTGGGAAATTTAACAGACACTCCATATCAGAAATAAAATGCCTTGAAAATCATACCCAAATTTGGCAGCAATATCATAAACTTGCTTTTCATGCTGAAGAACCTTCTCTCTGTCACCCTCAAAGAGTAATGTAGCTACACACAGTTCGTTGGGATCAAATCCTTTAAACTGTGAAAAGAAAATATCTGTATCATGTTATAGTCCACATGGCAGAATCCAGGCTTAAGTAAATCTACTTTTTCCTTTTCCTTCAACTACACATAGGTACAATGTACTCAAAGTCACTTTGGGTTAGCAAGTATTCTTGTGGGATAGGAATAGAACAGTAACTAAAGAAAACAAGTTGCACAGAATGTTTCAGATATTTCCTAGTCTATTTTCAAGCACTCTTGACATCATTCATAGAAATTTTTGTGCACTATACTGAACAACTGAAGAAGAATACAGACATTTGATATGTTATATGACAAATTACTAAGTGGAGGTGTTTTACACAGCACAGGAACAAGGGAATTTAATGTTCCTCTTAGAAATTCTTCCATATGAAAATTATGCCCTTAATGTTACTGCTTTCACCTCAACACCACTGGGAGGTGGCAGTGACGTGATCCCAGACAGTTTCATTATACTGGACTTGCAGAGGGAAAGCTTCTGCACTGCTAAAGGAACTTTGAATAGAAGGGCAGAGAGGAAAGATGAACCTATCTGTTTGGAGTCTTGATTCTCCAAGCTGTTAGAAGGAAATGTGTGAACCCTTCTGTTCCTACTTAATATTACTCTACAAAAATGATAAAGAAAAGCAACCAGAAGCATGAGTCACTATGCTGGTCAAGCATTGTTGCCAGAAGCATTATCATTCATGCAATCCTGGACCGGGGAGTGCACTATAAGGAAAGGAGGAAAATAAACAAGGAAGAAGAATTTAAAAAGTAGGGGAGGAGTATACCACAAGTGCAAAAGTGGAAGGGGACGAAACTTCATCAAGTGGTTTGATATTATCTTGGTCTGGAAGTGCATTTAGTCTCTTGTTCCAAGAATGGGAGTTTGGAGCTTTGGTAGGCGCAGGGTCAAAGATCAATGAAGATATTCCAAGAGAGGGACAGGCTTGCATATTGCTCTTTAATAGTCACTGAAAGCGTATTCACTGACTCCAGAAAGCTTTCACCAAGTAGAGAATTTTAGGAAAGGAGTGGGGAAGAATATAAAGTAGGAGGAGGTTGCAGAAGGCCCTTCCTATTGTCCAAGTGGAAAGGGTCAAAGAAATGGGTATCGACTAAGAAGTGTGTTGTATAAGGGGAGAGAGCTAAGCACACAAACAGAAACAAAACGGGAACAAAAAGAGGTACATGAAAAGAGAATAACTTTACTGTCAGGGCAGAACTGATAAAAACAATCAAATTAATAATGGACTTTAGCTTAGGTATGCATATAAGAGATACATAAAAATATACATTATTACATACAAACCAACATGTTACCTAGGCGGTAAAGAAACGCATCCAAAAGTTTGCAAATGCCAGAACTAAAGTTACCTGTGAAGTCTTAATTAAGCTCTCAAGTGCTTGCATTAGGATACACTAACTACGTGATCATTACTATTTTTTCCACAGCACACTGCCTCGTTTACTGCATGGAATAAACAAGTTCACTGAATAAGCAGCTATTCAATATTTTGCTTTATGCTGATCGTTCAATGTGTAGCCCTAGGCCTTATATACTTCACACTGATCAAACCCTTATTTGGATACAAGATTACTAATTTCCTTATGGACTTTTCTATGGTGCTCACTGTAGCATCTGAATGTGTCACAAACATGAATTTATTTTCACAACATAGCTATGATGCAAGTTATTATTCCAGTTACATAGATGGGAAACTAAGATAGACATTTGTGATAGATGTATACTAATGCAAGAAGTATGGAGAATAAGCAAGAAGAACTCGAAATGGTAGTAAACAAAACACAACTATGACATACTTGGCATCGCAGAGACTCGGTGGGATAATATGCATGACTGGAATATTGCTATAGAAGGGTATAGCTTTCTCACAAAGGACAAGAGGGAAAAAAGGAGGCGGTGGTGTCATATATATAAAATGTATACACTTGGACTGAAGTTCAGATGGAAATAGGAGACAGCCTTGTTCAAGGTCTCTGGGTAAGGATAAAAGGGCAAAAAACAAAGGTGATGTCATGGAAGGAGTTCTACTACAGACCACCTAACCAGGAGGAAGAGGTGGATGAGGCTTTTTTAAAGCAACTAACAAAATCATCCAAAGCACAAGACTTGGTAGTAATGGGGGACTTCAACTACCTAGACATCTGTTGAGAAAATAACATAGCAAAGCACAACAAATCCAACAAGTTCTTAGAATATATTGGAGACAATTTTTTATTTCAAAAGGTGGAGAAAGCTACTGGGGACAGGCTGTTCTAGATTTGATTTTAACAAATAGGGAGGAACTAGCTGAGATTTTGAAAGTGGAAGACACCAACTTTTTGGGTGAAAGTGATCATGAAATGGTAGAGTTCATGATTTTAAGGAACAGTAGGAGGGAGAATAGCAAAATAAAGACAATGGATTTCAAGAAGGCAGACTTTAGCAAACTCAGGGAGCTGGTAGGTAAGATCCCATGGGAAGCAAGTCTAAGGGGGAAAGGAATTGAAGACTGTTGGCAATTTTTCAAAGAGACATTATTACCGGCATATCCCACTGCGTAGGAAAGATAGGAAGCAGGGCAAGAGACCACCCTGGCTTACCCAGGAGATCGTCAATGATCGGAAACAAACAAACAAAAGTCCCACAAAAAGTGGAAACTAGGTCAAATTACAAAGGATGAATATAAACAACACAAGTATGTAGGGACAAAATTAGAAAAGCCAAGGCACAAAATGAGATCAAGAGACATAAAAGAGTAACAAGAAAACATTCTACAAATACATTAGAAGGAAGAGGAAGACTAAAGAAAGGGTAGGCCCGTTACTCATGGCGGCTTGGGGGTGGGGGAGGTAAACAATAACAAAAAATGTGGAAATGGCAAAGGTGCTTAATTACTTCTTTGTTTCGGTTTTCACCAAGAAGGTTAGCGGTGATTGGATGTCTAACATAGTGAACGCCAGTGAAAATGAGGTAGGATCAGAGGCTAAAATAGGGAAACAAATTAAAAATTACTTAGAAAAGTTAGATGTATTCAAGTCACCAGGGCCTGATTAAATGTACCCTAGAATACTCAAGGAGCTGATTGAGGAGATATCTGAGCCATTAACAATTATGTTTGAAAAGTCATAGAAGATGGGAGAGATTCCAGAAGACTGGAAAAGGGCAAATATAGTGCCAATCTACAAAAAGGGAAATAAGGACAATCCAGGGAATTATAGACCAGCCAGCTTAACTTTTATACCTGGAAAGATAATGGAGAAAATAATTATGCAATCAATTTGTAAGTAAGTCAGCATGGATTTGTCAAGAACAAATCATGTCAAACCAACCTGATAGCTTTCTTTGACAGAGTAACAGGCCTTGTGGATAGAGGGGGAAGCGGTAGACGTGGTATATCTTGACTTTAGTAAAGCTTTTGATACTGTCGCGCACGACCTTCTCATAAACTAGGGAAAGGCAACCTAGATGGAGCTCCTATAAGGTGGGTGCATAACTGGTTGGAAAACCATTCCCAGAGAGTAGTTATTAGTGGTCCACAGTCATGCTGGAAGGGCAAAACGAATGGAGTCCCGCAAGGATCAGTTCTGGGTCCGGTTCTTTTCAATATCTTCATCAATGATTTAGATAATGGCATACAGAGTACACTTATAAAGTTTGCAGACGATAGCAATCTGGGAGGGGTTGCAAGTGTTTTGGAGGATAGGATTATAATTCTAAATGATCATTGTTAAAAAGTGCCGGGGGTGGGGGGGTGGGAGGGGAGAGAGACACAATAAGAAGGCATTTTCAGAACATAAACAGCCATACTGGGACAGACTAATGGTCCATCTAGCCCAGTATCCTGTCTTCTGACAGTGGCCAATGCCAGATGCTTCAGAGGGAATGAACAAAACAGGGCAATTATTGAGTGATCCATCCCCCATCATCCAACCCCAGCTTCTGGCAGTCAGAGGTTTAGAGACACCCAAAGCATGGGGTTGCATCCCTGACCATCCTAGCTAATAGCCATTGATGGAACTATCCTCCACGAATTTATCTAATCCTTTTTTGAACCCAGTTATATTTTTGGCCTTCTCAACATTCCCTGGCAAAGAGTTCCAAAGGTTGACTGGGAGAATGAAGTAGTACTTCCTTTTGTTTTAAATCTGCTGCCTATTAACTTCATTTTGTGACCTTTGTTCTTGTATTATGGGAATGGGTAAACGGCATTTCATTATTGACTCTCTCCACAGCATTCATGATTTTATAGATGTCTATCATATCTGTCTCTTTTATAAACTGAACAGTCCCAGTCTCTTTAATCTCTCCTTTTATGGAACTGTTCTGCACCCTTAAATCATTTTTGTTGCCCTTCTCTGTACCTTTTCCAATTTGAATATATATTTTTTTGAGTTGGGGCAATTGAACTGCATGAAGTATTCAAGGTGTGGGCATATCACGGATTTATATAGTGGCATTATATTTTCTGTCAGTATCTATCCCTTTCCTAATGGTTCCTAACATTGTTAGCTTTTTTTCACTGCTGCACATTGAACAGCTGTTTTCAGAGAACTACCCAAGATCTTTCTCAAGTGGTAACAGCCAGTTTAGATCCCATCAGTTTGTATATATAGTTGGGATTATGTTTTCCAACGCGCATGATGTTGCATTTATTGCTATAGAATTTCATCTGCCATTTTGTTGCCAAATCCCGCTGTTTTGTAAGTTCCCTTTTTAACTCTTTGCAGTCAACTTTGGTCTTAACCATCCTGAGTAATTTTATATTGTCTGCCAATTTTGCCATTTCAGTGTTCACTCTTTTTTCCAGATCATTTACGAATATGTTGGAGAACAGGTCCCAGTACAGACCCTAGCAGGATCCTGCTATTTACCTCTCTCCATTCTGAAAACTGACTATTTATTCCTACCCTTTGTTTCCCATCTTTTAACCAGTTCCTGATCCACGAGAGGACATTCCTACTTATGACTAGGGCCCTGCCAAATTCACGGTCCATTTTGGTCAATTT